ACAAGTCTCTATTCCTCTACGTATGCATTCAAGTATAGTCTCCAAAATCAATGGCATTATTCGTCCGAGTACGTATTTTTGGTTGCGTAGCCATCATTGTAGTGTTACTAGAAGCAGTGTAGTTTGTTATTTTTCATTTTTAAGGACGAAGTGCGTCATGTTGGAGATCTTGGAAACGTTGAAGCTGGACAGGACGGAGTGGCTCATATTAACATAACCGATAAGCATATACAGGTAGTTTAATTCCATTTCACGCAAATTATGAGAAAATTCTTATGGCAAGGGACATCCGCACATGTGAGTTCGGCAGCTCCCTGTCTTTCTAGTTGACCTGAATTGACGATTATAATCTTTTTTTGGGACTTTTTTGAATTTTGAGGAAATTAGCTGAAGTTTCAACCCTTATTGCGCACCTGAATAGCATGCTGGTGCGATGATTGAGGAAGGAAGGAGCATTTTTTGCGTGGGCCATGCTCCTGTTACAGTTTCTGTAATTATGGTCGTTTTTTTTTTTTAAATTCTTTGTATTTGTACTTAAATTCTGTTGTAAAATCCCCAGCTGAAAAAAAGGCAACTTACGTGGCATTTGTTTGGCATTTGAACTGTTTATTTTTTATTCGTCCCATCTTATTTTCTTGGCCTAAACAGCTCTAGCATACCTAGATTTCTTCGAAAGCGTGCCTCAGCATGGCATGTTGGGTGGAATTTTTATTCTTCCTCTTAGCGGTGGATCACTTGGCTCGTGGATCGATGAAGAACGCAGTTAGCTGCGATAAATTGTTCAAATTACAGGCATTTTGAGGAGTAAAATTTCGAATGCACATTGCGCCATCGGGTTGGCATCTTGGCGAGAATTTTGCCTTCTTTTTTTTCTGGCTGAAATGTCCCGCTTTTGGGCCCAGTTTGTCCTGGGATCGCGTCCTACATGTAAACTCTCACTCAGATTTTTTTCAGATTTAGTCTTTTTGCGGTTTTTTTGGTATTTACTGTGGATTTTCTT